TATTAACAAAAGAAAATAAATGAAATAACGATGATACATTCAATAAACAACATAATATAAAGTTCAGAATTAATCAAACTTTTGCCGTTGTCGAGATCTAAAAGATATAATAACAAAAGAAAAGAAATGAAATAACGATGATACATTCAATAAACCCTGTAAATAATTTCAGAATTAATCAAACTCTTGCAGCTATCTAGATCTAAAAGATATAATAACAAAAAAAAAAAAATATGAAATAACGATGATACATTCAATAAACCCTATAAATAATTTCAGAATTAATCAAACTCTTGCAGCTGTCTAGATCTAAAAGATATAATAACAAAAGAAAATAAATGAAATAACGATGAAACATTCAATAAACTCTATAAATAATTTCAGAATTAATCAAATTTTTTCGCTGTCTAGATCTAAAAGATATAATAACAAAAGAAAGTAAATGAAATAACGATTATACATTCAATAAACAACATAATATAAAGTTCAGAATTAATCAAACTCTTGCCGCTGTTGAGATCTAAAAGATATAATAACAAAAGAAAATAAATAAAATAACGATAATACATTCAATAAACCTTGTAAATAATTTCAGAATTAATCAAACTCTTGCAGCTTTCTAGATCTAAAAGATATAATAACAAATGAAAATAAATGAAATAAAGATGATAAATTCAATAAACAACTTAATATAAAGTTCATAAAAAGGGCATTTGATTTAGTGGTATAATTCTTGCTTTGGATGCAAGAGGTCTCGAGTTTGATAACCAAGAGTGACCCAATTCACTCCTCTCGGAAGAGAATGTTTGCTCTTAATATCATTTTGTGTTTCTCACTTTCAATTGACATACCTATCCAAATTTAAAACTAATCTTGTGATTTATCTCTCTGAGGGAGAATAAACTCATTATCTGACCTTCTTGTTTTGCGTCGTGGTGTTCATGTAGTGGGTTGGTTCACTCGAGCTCCCATTTTCAAATACAACAATGGTAGCAAGCGTAGATTCATCATGGCTAAGATTCTTTCTCAATTGTACTATTGTCATCATTTTCACCCCTCTTGGTTGGTGGATGTTTGTCTGAATGATCGTCATGTTAGACTCCGTTACTACTAGGTATGTAACTTACAAGGAAAATTAATATATGTCAAACACTCACAAAGTACGACACATGGAATGGCTACGGAGCACGCGTTGTTAATACTTCATACAATTCATCCAACCAAGCCAATAGTAACACCATTCACCTGGTTGGCCTAAAGCGAAGCCACTAAATTTCCTATATAGATGTTCGTTAGATTATACTCATTGATGTATAGTTCCAAAGCTAAATCCAAATCGACTTCCTTCACTCTTTTTTTTTTTTTCTCCATCTTTATTCAAATCGGCATTGTTAGGGATAAAGAAAGGATGAGCTGGAGATTGAGAAATGGGAAGAGAAATAAAGAATGGGATGGAGGAAGAGGAGGAAATGGGAGGAAGTGGAGAACATGGATAAAATGAGCACGCACGCAACTCTTAAGCCAGTTTGAACTCCTAATATCTTAAATAAAGTTGGTCTCCTCTACTAAAACATAAATTTCTCTTAGGGTCATTAAATTCTTATAGACCCCAAGCTCAATATTATAAATACAATTATACTTTATCTTGAACACGCCAAACATGAAACTAAAGTGGGGTCAATTTGATGGTGTTAATATAACACATGCGGGAGCAATTTGGATCTTAGACACTTTTAGAACATCAATTATAGTAAATAACTAACATGTTCATAAGTATTTAAACTTAATGAGTTTGAATACTAACCTTTTGTAGTTCAAATTCTTTTTTCCTCATGAACCGGTTTCGAGCCACCACTAGTGTCTTCTCCACTATCCTCCGACCTTAGAATGGGATTGTGGAATCCGGTGAGTCACTAAACTTGGGAGGGATTTTATATATATGAAGAGAGTGTTTGTGAGAGGTTTTTCTTAAGGTTTTTCACCAAGAAGAAGACCTTTCATGTTTTATGATCACTCTATTTATAGATTCATGTTTGCATGTTCATGCAAATTTGAGATCACCAAATTTTGACACTCAAAATTCCACTCAAATGTTTGGGATTATGTGGCAAGCATGCTTGAGTTAACCAAATTTTGACACTCAAAATTCCACTCAAATTTGTGGGGTTTATTTGGCAAGCATGCAAGTTTGGTTAAACCAAATTTTGACACCTCAAAATTTCAATAACATGGATTTTTCCATTAAATAAAGTAACATTTTGACTTTCTTCATTTTAATTCAACAATCAATTTAAATTATTAATTCAAATTAAAGTACTAATTAATTAAACTATTTAATTAATATTTAATATTAATTCAAATGTCAATCTCAATTAATTCCGACACATATTTGATTAAGATATTTAAATCTTATTTAAATATCTCATATTCTCTCTTTTTGTTTAATTCGTAATAAAACAAAAATGCGGTTAAACATATTGTATATATGTAGTGCATTCTCCCTAATTTGAATTCGAACACTTCGAACTCACTCGTCACATTGTTCTATGGTTTAGTCCGATATGAGCTAGTAGAGGGACTTAATGGACATATAGATCATGGGCTCCAACGATCCAAGATTAACAAGTTAAACTCATTAACCTTGTTAACCAACATTCGTTAACTACTAGTAGTTGCGCTCCCCTCACTATAGATATATTTCTGTCCATTTAATATAACCATGATTAGTAAGTCGATCCTTCACAGATTGTTCGTAACTAGAGCTGGGTCAATTTACCGTTTTACCCCTGAAGTTACTTCTTGTTTCTTATGTCTCACTGATCCTCTCATGAACAATTGGTTTGTGGTCCAATTAACCAAATCCCTCTCAGGCCAATGAGAGGGTGGGGCTCCTTGTTCAAGACCTAGAGTCAGTACTTGAACTACCTCTCTTCTATCCCTAAAGATGGGTAGAAGTGAATTCCATCTTGCACCCCACGTCCCCAGCCATTTACCTAGTCTTACCCCTAAAATGGGAGGCCTATTGAGTCGGTGAACTTGAGCCACTCTCACCCATGCAAATCGAAGGATAATTCCGAATAAACAGGAGTTCATAGTTAACTTAGGATTAAGATCTAGTTACCTAGGTCATTGAATGAAAAGAAAATCAGTCTCAACAGTAAACGACATTATAAAATGAGAGTGATTTTCTTCATGGTCCGATCTTATGCAATACTCAATGCATAGGACACCCCCACTCACATATCTCCACATGTACAATTTTAGTGATCACATTGTTTATGTCATATACAAAAGTGGGTCGCATCCATAGTGTCCCTAGAATAAGATAATCAGCCTTATCCTTATACTATAGATCATTTTCACTATATACTTGAACTTGATCAACTCTTATGTCTCTACATATAGTTCAAGTAATCATATTATAGTCAGAGTGTTCTTAGTTTATTGGATTTAGATTAATGATGGTAAAGTTCACTTTATTCAATAACCATCTTTACTGAATAAACAACAATAATAACTTTATTGAAAATAGAATATGTTTTTGTTTACAAACTATGAGTTTTAGGACATAAAACCCAACACAATTTAACTCCATTTTATTTCCATCTTGAATGATATGTAGGGTATATTCTTGATTTTCCTTAAAGTTCTTGTGGCATGATAGCTTATATTTGTTAAGCTTTTTGTAAAATCACAGTTAAAAGACAACAACGATGAACCTAGGTCTATTAGTCATTTCAAAGACAATTTCTTTCTCCATCTTATCGGTAATACCAGTTCAACTAAATCTATATTATGCAAAGAAACAAGTTTATGACTCACAACACCAACTACCTAAATTATGACCTAAAAATTTGAAAACATAAGTTGTAGTTGATAATTACACAAAAATTTCCCTAAATCAATGAACTCATGTCCAAATAGTTCATCCTAAAGATTGTAACTAGCATAGAGTAATTGAAGCTCCACATGAAGCATTTTAAAGTTCCCTTTTCTTCACTAAAGTTTATCTCATCTTTAATGAAGCATTATTTGCACTTAGGTTCATGAAATATTTATAGACTCCTACTCTGAGTACTATTAATACAATTATGTTTCGTATGAGTTTGTCATAAATGAAACTAAGGTACATTCAATACAACTTTATTTTGTTGTCATACGAAGCAAAATAGAAGAATTAAATCAAACAAACTGATGAACTAAATCGAATCAATCCAAACCAAATTGATTAGTTTGTTTCCTTTGTTGGGTTTTTTGTTTATTTGATAACCCTTGTATAACAATTCAATATAACATGCCTTACTTTCAAGTAAAATATTAGACCATCAACTTTTCATTTTATAGCCGTCCAACCACTCAAAGAAAAATATATTTGAGTAGAAGCTAAAAATATTGGGTATTTAAGAAAAGACATTTGCTTTAGTGGTACGACCCTCACTTAGGGTGCAACCTCAAATGCCCCTATGTCTAAATCTTTTCTTATCGAAGGACTTCATATTTATATAAACTTGTTGTTCCTATTATTTACTTTTCAAACATACCTCTTAACTTCTCTACACCAATTGTTGGGCAACAAAGTAGACATAAAGGAATTAGAAAAGAGATATCAAAACTTAAGCATGTTGGCAATGACTTGGCCATTCAACAGCAACCTAAAGTCTTTCTTTACATCCGAAGGCTTTATACTTACCATCTAAGGAAATAAAGAAAGAAAAAAAAAAAAGAGGAAGAAAAACAAAAATTAAGGCAATTAAAACTATAATGATAATGCTCTTAATCTCATTTCATGTTTCCCACTTTCGGTAAGTATGCCTATCCAAATCTTAAATAGGTCTAGTAGAAAGCTCTTTGTTCTTATTATGTTCTTGTTTTATTCTCCAAGACACATTCTACCTCCAAGGCTTCAGTTCAAGCGCATCGAGGACTTTAGGTGTTTCCTGCAATGCGACCTTAATATTTAGGCCCAAGGATTCATACATACGTTTTAAGTGGCATAACAAGGGCATTTTGTCTAGTGGTATGATTCTCGCTTTAGGTGTGAGAGGTCTCGAGTTCGATTCTCGAAATGCCCATTCAAGAGAGATTTGTAGAAAAAAACGAAGTAAATAAATGCAATAAAATGACACAAGTTAAATACATACATTCCCATGAAACTGTGAATGTGAAATTGATAATCCTAAAATATAATAATTGGATTAATATAATATCTATGTCGAAATGATTCATAAATTATACCATCTTTCTCCCATTTTGGAATTCCCATTTTGAACCTATTATTAATGACGAGACGTTTAGGATTTTGTGACATGAGAATTGTAGGGATGTAGCTCAGATGGTAGAATGCTTGCTTTGCATGCGAGAGATATGGGGATCGATACCTTGCATCTCCAAAATAAAACTTCTTCATTTTTTCACTATTATTGATGACGGAAATTTTAAGGTTTTATTGTGCAAGTATTGTGGGGATGTACCTCAGATGGTAGAGCACTCACTTAGCATGTATGGGGATCGAGATACCTTGCATCTCCAAAAGGAACTAATTTTTATTAATATTTTATTTATGTTCAATTTTTCCTTATTTATGACATAATGAGCGGAGATATTTTTTTCTTTTTCACAATTATTGATGACGAGACACAATTACTGATGACGGGACATTTAGGGTTTTCTGATGTAAGAATCGTGGGGATGTAGCTCAGATGGTAGAGCTTCTCATGTGGGAAGTACATGGTAGAGCTTCTCATGTGGGAAGTACGGGATACCTTGCTTCTCCAAATGAATCGATTACTAAATAATTATTTCTTTTCAAATTTTTCATATTTACTACATAATGAGCCGAAATAGTTTTTCATTTTCACTATTATTGATGACAAGATGTTTAGGATTTTGTAACATGGTAAAGTGCTCGCTTTGTATGCAAGAGGTATGGGGATCGATGCCTTGCACTTCCAAAATAAAACCATCTATTATTCTATTATTAAGTATATTATTTACTTCCAATTTTCCCTTATTCATGACATGTTGAGTAGTGATACTTCTTCATTTTTACTATTATTGATGACGAAAAATTTAGAGTTTTGTGATTCAAGAATTGTGGATATTGCATCTCCAAAAGAAACTATTTGTTATTAATAATTTATTTCTATCCAATCTTTCCTTATTTATGACATAATGAGCCGAGATATTTTTTCATTTACACAATTATTTTTTATTTTTATTGATGCAGAGATAGTTTTTTATTTTCACTATTATTCATGACGAGACATTTAGGATTTTGTAGTGTAAGAATCGTGGGGATGTAGCTTAAATGGTAGAGTACTCGCTTAGCATGAAAGAATCTATTCATGATGAGTAGCTCTTATCTATGAAAGAATCTATTCATTATTAATATTTTATTTCTATTCAATATTTCCTGATTCATGACATGATGGGTAGCGATATTTCTTCATTTTCACTATTATTGATGACAGAAAGTTTAAAGTTTTGTGATATAAGAGTTGTGGGGATGTAGCTTAGATGGTAGAGGAACGGGGATTGATACATTGCATTTGCATCTCTAGAAAAAATTATTTGTTATAAATATTCATGATGAGTAGCGATATTTCTTCAATTTCACTATTATTGATAATAGAAAATTTAGAGTTTTGTTAGAGCATTCACTTAGCATGCAAGAGGTACGGGGATTGATACTTTGCATTTACATCTTTAGAAGAATCTATTTGTTATTAATATTTTATTTTTATTCAATATTTCCTTATTTATGACATAATGAGCAGAGATATTTTTTTATTTTCACTATTATTGATGAATTTAAAGTTTTGTGATGTAAGAATCGTGGGGATGTAACTCAGATCGATCACTTTGCATGTGGAGATGTAGCTTAGATGGTTTTATTTCTATTCAATCTTTTCTTATTTTGACATATTGAGCAGAGATATTTTTTTTATTTTCACTATTATTGGTGATGGTAAGTTTAGGATTTTATGACGTAAGAATTGTGGGGATGTAGCTTAAATGGTAGAGCGTTCGCTTCGCATGTGAGAAGTACGGTGCGATACCCTGCATCTCCAAAGGAATCCTACTACCAAATATTCTATTTCTATTTCAAATTTTTCTTATTTATGACATAATGAGCCGCGATAGTTTTCATTTTCACTATTGTTGATGATGGGACATTTAGGATTTTGTCATGTAAGAATTGTTGGGATGTAGTTAAGATGGTAGAGTGCACTCTTTGCATGCAAGAGCCATGGGGATTGATACCCAAAAGTAACTATTTGTTATTAATATAATTTTTTTTTCAATCGTTCCTTATTTATGACATAATGAACACAAATATTTTTTTATTTTCACTATTATTTATGATGTAAGAATTGTACGGATGTAGCTTAAATGGTAGAGAGCTTGCTTTGCATCCGATAGGTACGAGGATCGCTATCATGCACTCTTTGCATGCGAGAGGTACGAGGGTTTTGGGGTTTGTTATGTAAGAACTATGGGAATGTAGCTAAGATGGTAGAGTGCATCTCCTAAAGAAACTCATTAATATTTTATTTCTATTAAATTTTTCCTTATTTTTGACATAATGAGCAGAAATATTATTTCATTTTCACTATTATTGATGACGGGTAGTTTTGGGTTTTGTTATATAAGAATTATTGGGATGTAGCTAAGATGGTAGAGTGCATCTCCTAAAGAAACTATTTGTTATTAATATTTTATTTTTATTCAATTTTTTCTTATTTTTGACAAAATATCATTATTTTTTCTTATTTTTGATATAATGAGCAGAAATATTTTTTCATTTTCACTATTATTGATGGCACGCAGTTTTGGGTTTTGTTATGCAAGAATTGTGGGAATGTAGAAAAGATGGTAGAGTGCTTTGTTTGCATGCGATTGGTATGGGGATCGATACCCCGAACACCCCGCTCTGTATTCCTAAATGCTCTATAATTATGGTGGTGCCTTGATGGGATAGATATTTTATATGGATTGTATACGCCTTTAAATGTGGTTTGGCAAAAAAGATAAGTATAGTTAAATTTATAAGTCACTTTTTGAAAAGTATGGTGTGGGATAAATTGGATTATTGCCTATTATTTCTAAGAATATATTAAGTCTTGTGACTAATGTTTTCCATTTGTAGAGATGACATATAATAGAGCAATTCATAGTACCACTCATTGTTCTCGTTTTGAAGATGTTTATGGATTTAATATGCTTATTATTTGTAAGAATATTAAGTCTTGGGACGAATGTTTGCCATTTGTAGAGATGACATATAATAGAGCAATTCATAGTACCGTTCTCCATTAGAGCAATTCATAGTACCTGCATTGTTCTCCTTTTGAAAATGTTAATGGATTTAATCCACCTACGCCTCTTGATTTTCTTCCTATTCATTCTAATATTTTTGTGAGTAAAGCAACCAAGGCAGATTTGATAAAAACATTACATAAAACAATTGAGAAACAAAAAGTTACTTTAAGAACTAAATATTTTTGTGAGTAAAGCAACCACAATTAAGGTTTGATCAAAACATTGCATAAAGAGGTGAAGGAGACAATTGAGAAACAAAATTTCAAAGTTGCTTAAAGAATTAACAAAGGACGGAAGGAAATCATTTTCAACCCGATAACTGGGTTTGGATACATTTTCGCAAGGAGCGATTTACATCCTAAAGGACGACAAAGTTACATCCAAGAGGGGATAACCCTTATTAAGTCCTTGAAATAATTAATATCAATGCATATAAAATGATTTTCCTCGAAAATTTTCAGCACATTCTACTTTCAATTTTCAATGTTGTTGACTTGAGTTCTTTTGATGTAGGTGATGATTTTTCTAATTTGAAGAGGGGGAAGATGATAAGGATCATGGTGATCCAAATGTTCCAACTGAACCAGCCAAGAAGATTCAACAAGCATTCATTCTTCATCTATAAAATTGGATAGACTTTGTTCAACTCTCATTTCATGTGTTACATATTCGGTTGAGAAAGGAACATTTGGAGCTTCAGAAGTAAATATTTAAACAGATGAAGTAAAGGATGAAGTTGCAAGCTATCATTAGATGAGTTGTTAAAAAATATTATTTATTTTTAATTCATAGAGTATGTAATGGTCAAATTGACCTCGTCTTTGGTGGGGATTAAGGGGATTGAGATTAAATCCAAGCCACTAACATAAATATCCTCAAATTATTATGTAAAAATCAGATTTGAGAGAAATGAAATTGATCTCTCAAGGTTCAGAAGTTCCCCTTAAAAATCCGAGCATTATCTCTACTATTTCTAAGTTTCAAGCAATTGTAGGAGATAGAAATGCACATGAGTCTATCAAGTTCGATTGTGTGGTTGAGTAAAATTCATAACCTTCTACTTATTTTCGTGATTATTTTTCTTCCTATTCATTGTAATTTATCCTAATACAAACAAGTTTGTTTTTTTAGGGAATGTATTAAGCACATGAGTTTATTAATTACTGTGAACTTTTATTTAAAATGAAGTAAATACAAATGGAGTAAGTATATATAACAGTAAAAGAGGAATTATGTTTACTAGCACTTTTTTTTAACCTAAGATAGAAGTAAATGTAGTAGTAAAAAGAAGCTAATCCCATTTTATAATTTAAATATTGTTAAAGGGTAGCAAAGAAGTAGTTTTGACATATCAAGGTAGGTTTTGAAAATTTAAATTAAAAAATTAAAAAATAAATATAAAATAAAAGTTGTTTTCAAAAACGTAGTTCGTGGTGAAATTTTACTTAAAATAAAAATGTATTGTTTCAATATCTATCCCAAAGGAATGCATATGCTTTAGTGGCAACAGCTTCAACTAAAATAATTTGAGCGAGGTAATTCATAATCTCAAAGGTAATGTAGGAATTATAGGATATAAACTTTATTTATGTCAATATTTCTTAATAATATTAATTGAAGTACATCCAATTGATTTGAAGAACAAATTCTATTATGTGATGGACAATGTGAAATTAACGTGACAATAATAGTAGGTTCTAAAGCACAAAAAAAAAACACGTGGATAAATTTCAAATCTTGAGGCACATAA